CTTTTTCAGAATTTGTCAATTGTACAATATTACTCATGTTATCTTATATCAAGTTATACATCACCCTACACTATAAATCACTCTAACCTGAGTTACACATGGCTATACATCACTCAACACGCACAGCACAAGTCAAGCGTCTTAGTACTCCTCCTTCTTGTGCGACAAACTGTATGTACCTGTCTATTAACAATTAACATTTCATTATACCAGGGGTGTATGGAGACAGCTAGATAATCGCAAGCATTCAGAAATAATTTTGTTTTAAAAAATGGAAATATTCTAAATGTCAATGAAATGATTTCCCAACAGAGCATCTCGAGATTCAGTCTGAGGCTTAAAGCCAGTTGAAAGTCTGAAAGACTGGCCTTTTCATGGCATGGTGTTTCCTGAGTTACCACACGTGGTACAGTATCTTATTAACCCTTTGGCTCCAGTGAGGGGTTGACGGTGACCTTTGCCAAACCGATGATTCTGTCAACCAACATGGCTAATATTTCATAAGTATTCAAAGGTATGTCAGGTTCCGTGTATATAGAAACTTGCTAACTATTTGAGAAGCTGTGATCAAGGCAAATGGTGGCTACTTTGAGGCCAGGAATTACAGAACATTTTCAGGTTAATAGGAAATGGTTCTGGACCTCAATAGATTTTGTTTTCTGTACTGCAATGTGCTCGCATTTTCAAGTACTTACTGGAAAATATACATAATATAAATGATTATAGAACCTGGTTTTCAGCAACTTTATGCAAATATTTGACAGATACTGTACTTATAACACACTATATATGATTGACAAATCACCACACACACACATCCACGAACGGAGGGACTCACAGAGACCAGGTCCGAATTGCTGTCGTCAAAAAGGTGGAGCTCATCGATAGACTGAGACAAAGCCTCGGAGTGGTGGGGGTAGGCGAGGAAGAGCCTCGCGTCCATTGGAGAGCTGGGATGGGGGAGCGGGGGGAGTCAGAGACAAAGCACACACACAGATACACGCCTGTATATACACACAGACACACACACCTGTATACCGATTCTATCATGTATAAAACAGTTTCAATATTCATTTTTCATGGTATCGATTCTACAGCATGCACTTCCAGTTTGCTCTGACCACTGAGGCTCATCAGCTACCATGCATGCCTAGAACCGAGTACAGTCTCACACACACTAAAATCACTAGTTGAGAAGCGTCACATAACTGATAAAGGTGTAGCCAGAGTGGCGTCTGGAAATACTCTGGCTTTGTGACAAACGAAGACAGTAAACCACAGGACATGTTGAGGCTTGTGTGCAAGTTGTGCCACTGCACAATACTGACAAAGGGGAGCAACCGCCACAAACCACTACAAATTTAGCTCCATACAATCTAGTGGGGTTGTGTTGATTAGTGTTGATCATTCAGATACAAACTTTTAGAGTTGTGCAATTGTTGGAAGTGTTAGTGATTTGAAACACAAGGCAGGTAAAAGTAACATATCTGTTCTGTTATGAACTGAAATGATAATATACAGTAACATCTAATTTTTAAGAGTGTTCAATTACTGCTCCTGAATATCTGAGCATGATTACAATGACTTCTGATGTACTTAAAATTATTGTACTTTGACTGACAATGCAATGCGAAGGGTTTTTTTTATAGTGACAGATTACAAAAGGTTGTAAAGTTTTTGCAATAAACAAAATTGCAATTGAAATATTTTTTTTAATCGAGTGTTTAGTTTTGAAAAATGGTATCGAGCTTCAGCACTTGGTATTTTATCGAAAATTATTTCTTTTGGTATTGTACCAACACTAATACATACACGCACATATACCTGTATATACACACATACAGATACACATACGTGCCTGTATGTACACACACAGACACACAGACACACACACAGACACACACACAGACTTACGGGGCCAGAATAATATAGTGTTGTAGAGCTCTCAGCAGTTCCATGGTGCCACCCCTGTGGAAATGCAGTGGTGGAAGTGAATGTCCCCCCCTGCTGGTGAGCACCAGGAAGTTGCGTCCCAGGGAGAAGCGGGCACGGCGCAGGGAGTATAGCTCGGAGAGCGGCAGCGAGAAGGAGCCCCATTGACCTGGAAGGACACACAGCCATGAACAGCAGTACAGGGGGAACAATACTGATGCACCAAAACAGAGCTCACTGCTTCAGTACCGGTCTCTCGCACTGGGGGCTGCTCTCTCGCTTTTTTCACTGTGCTGATGACAGCCCAGTCTGGCTCATACCCTGGGTCAAAACTAGTCTCCTCCTCTCCCCCATCCCCATCCTGTGAGAGAAGGAAACAGAGCTGGACTAGACACACTAACAAGGCAGTATATCATGAATGCTAATGATGATCCTTCTGCTAACCCTGACTGGTACTACATTGAAAGAATTGAAGCAACATCTAAATAAACTAATTAAATAAGCTTCCGTGAACTAGACGTAGGTATTTGTCAGTATTTTCAGGAGTTTCTCAACAATACTTTGTGCGAATATCCATATTGGTTGATTTACCTTTTTGCTGTAGAAGACAGCAGGTGTACTTCCTCTTTGCTCCTCAAGAGGGCTCCACTCCAAAGCTGGCTCCCCACCCTAAAGAAAGCAATTATGTGTTATTAACTTTAAACAGCCCCATAACTATGGTGCCAAATTAGTCAAACATTTCCACATTAAGAAGTCCTTGAAAACAGCGTATGGATTTACTACTAACTACTATATATTTTACAGGTCAGTGAAATAAAGACACGATATATGGCTGCAGCTTTAATACTGTTCGGTACCTAGCGCAAGCTGATACAAAAGGCAACAACGGAGGTCCTCAGCTTATTTTATGATGTCACACAATATTCCACTCCCCTCTCAGTTGATACCATGCCCCTCAGAGCCAAGATTATGAAACAGAAAAAATAGAATCGGAAAATGAGAAAATTCTGAAACTGAAAAAAGATTGGAAACCACAAAAAATAAGATCTGGATCTGAAAACAAAAAAAAAATCTACAAATGAAAAAATAAGACCTCAAATATCAAAATATATATGAAAATAAAAAATGAAAACAAGACATTGATTTAAAAAAAAAATCAAGAATTGAATCAAAGTTATATTTAAACTGAAAACAATACACATTTTAGTTTGAATACATTGTTGTGTTTTTACAGTTCAACATCAAAACTTGAAATGTGTTTCAACTCTTCTTTTAATAACAAAGCTACTGGCCCTGATTTAACATTACATTACTGAACAGGCTCCTGTTTTCATAACAAATACACTAACAAAAAGCCTGAATTACCTGCCACTGACAAGACGCTAAATGCTGTAAATATAATGTAAATGATTCGATCACCACTTGGCTCTGATTCGCTGAATCTGGCAGTGATTGACAGCCCATGATAATACCTCCCACTGGAGCTTTCAAAGTCGCATTTCTGTCAATCACTAATTGCTATTCTAAAAAAATCACATGGATGGAGGAAGGGAATGCCAAGGTTATGATGCCCATGGAGCTGGACACTGGGAGTTCACCCTCACTCACCCTCTCCACTATGCGGATGAACCCCGGGATGGTGGTCTCCTGGTTGCTCTTCTTGGCGTTGGTGTGAAGGTACACACCCTCCTTCTCAAACACCAGCTGTGAAAAAAGCACATGCCACAACGATCATCTCAGCAGGAACACTCCAAGAGAATGTATGTTGTGTAACACTGACTGCTCTCTGCATCATGTGAGGACACACAATGTCAGCTAAGCTCAAACACATGAATCCAGGACAAATGAGAGTCACCATCCCAACACTAAAGGTGTGCCATAAATTTGCCTTTTAAACAAACTGGATCAAGGTCTATTTGCTGAAGTATCATCCCCAAGAGGAAGCCAGCATGACAATGATAGACCACGATGAATTTAAATGCCGAAGTTTAAAGGTTCAGTTTCAAATCATTTAAAGGCGAAGGAACCAGAAAGCGAGCAAATATCCATCGTTTTACATGGACTAGACCCAACACCCACCATCTGTCTTACTGCGCAGGGTACAAACCCTGAGCCTCAGGGAATGTCAGAAGCGTTCAGGGGAGCATCACCTGTGACAGTAACAGTCACCTGCTGAATACGGGCGACAGGCATCTTCATAACCCCGCAAAGGGACTGTCACTACTGGTCCTGTTGAAATGTGTAATGTTGGGACTAACTCGTACATATGTCTGACATTTATGCGTTTTCCCGCTAATCAGGTGGATGGTCCATCAACTCTGATGTGTAATACCTGTCATTAAATAGCGACGCCAGCAACTACGCAGCTAACTAACCAGCAAGTGACCCAAACTAACTGTAATAACACGGAAGTGTCCCCAACTGCGTGAACGGATTCGTGGTCCTCTTAAGAGATGCCGATTCGGTAAACCGGAGCACAGACGGGAATATCGCTCAATACGAAAATTACGAGCGGTGTCGAACCTTCGGACTGTCCGCGTCGGCCGCCATTTCCGCCGCCGCTATGGCCTTAACGACGCAGCCCCGTTCGGTACGTCCATCCGCCTGGCCCCGCCCCGCGTCCCTACGTATGCCTGGCCCCGGCTCGTGCGCAAAACATCTGCCATGTTCTGCACCGCCCCGCTTACGTCGCGGCGTTATCGCCAATCAGCAGGCGGCTCTTTTCATGGACAGTCATGTCTGCCCGCAAGCGTACGGAACGTAATTGGGACATATCACCATTTATTGAACTTTCATAATTGCATATTTCAACCTCAATATTTTGTATAGCTGAAAATGTAGTATATATTTTGCCGATACATATAGCACAAATATAAAAACATGTGACAGACTGAAAACAGTAGAGGAAGTCAGTGTTTTAATTAGTACGACTGAGCACCGTCTGTCCTGCATAAATCCGGGTGTACTTTTGATTTCATTGAGGTTTACATATTGATAATTGTATTCATTTGAACGGTCCAGTTGTGCATCTTACTCTTATTTCACTGAACGCTCGCCCGCGCAGGGCTTTGGGAACGCGCACGTTCCGCAGCGTGTGCTACGTGCGCGTCGGCCGGCTGTAAACAGGCAGGCGGCACGCCGACGTCGGCAGGCGGAGGAGGGAGGTCGCTCTGTGAGGAGACGGAGGCTGGCTTTGCTACGGGACGGGGAGCAGCAGATGTGAGTACGCTGGGGCCTTTGTCCGACCCAGTGAGGGCCGTGGGCTTGTAGTGTGCTGCCGGGGGCATAGAACCAGGAGCATTAGTAAGTATACTAAGCACTTGGGCTAGCTACCGAACAAACAAACAAACAAACAGGGTGAGACGCATGCGCGGTGCGGGGTCGGTGCTGCATGGCCCCCGGAGCGAGGAGTACTGCTCCATAAGGGCGACTCCGGGTTTGATCATGGTGCCGAAAGAGTCAGGGAGGGGGCTTGTTATCGGTGAGAGCAAATCTGGGCTTAGGTGACATGAACACCAAATTCGGCGTCTTTACGACCCCACGAACATGGCGCATAGATTTCCCCCATATTTGTACGAATGATACCTAGCATTTGCAGAGAGCAGGCTCTGTTAACCGTCTGTGGTAACTGGGTACTCTTGGTCTTTCATTGAGGCGTCTAAAGCAAGTCCAAGAATAGTCCTCCTCTTGACTTCTGCACCCTTCTCTATAATATGGTTAAATTGTCCTGTCTTCTCCCCCCAGGTGTTGTCAGGGACACTTGCCTTACTGTCCTGCAGTCCAGGACGGACCTGGCCATCCGTCATTTGTTAGGTTTAACTTTAAACACTATCTCTTATAATTCTTAATTTCCGAAGGATTTGGTTTATCCTGTCTCTCAGGGCTTGAGAGAAACAAATTGGTATTTGCACTGGCTGAAAGCTGCCTATTTTCCACCTTGAAAACTTGTGAAGAAAAGACTGATGGACTGAGATTTGCAGAAACCACCCATACAGCAGTGTGTTCAGAAAGCTAATCACAGCAAACAGGATAGCATGTGCACAATCTCCCCATGCTGTCACTGAACACCTGACCGAAGATTCCTCATTTTTGAAGTCTTAAGTGCAGATGCTTTAGTCAGCTAGTCCATATCACCCGCTTGACAAATCAAAGTCCAAATTATCACCCGGACAGCCATGGCCTCTGTGATCCAGTCTGACCCTGAAATCCCAGACAATTTCAAAGAGAGCTGGTTGGTCCTACTTTCTGCTGCGGAGGCCTACTGCCAGAAGTCGGGATGTGATCTAGCCATCATCACTGCTAACAAGAGGTTCCGGCCCTCCGTTCCGGATGGAGACAGTGGCCGGGGGTGGGAGGGTAGCCGCAAGTGGGAATACTCCTACCACGCTTGGGGCCAGGGGATGCTTGCAGATGCCACACGCCGCTACATGGATGACATCGCTGTACTGCACTCAGCCTCGGTGCTGACAGCACAGAGGCAGGCGCGCAGCGGTGTGGGCGAGGCCAGTGGGGCCCACCTGGGGGCAGACGTACCATGTGAGCCTGGCGGCCGGGTGGTGAGTAGCATGTGCCCCTTCCTCTGCCTTTTTATGCTGTTCCTTCTCCTGCCCTCTGATTCCATTATAGCTGCCTGGCTGGACGTGTGCCTCTGCAGTGCAGGGCCTTCATTTCCTCGTTGCTTGCTCGTTTTAGAGCCTGATGGGTGACAGTGGAGCCGGGTCAGTCAGCCCCAGCACGCAGCTCTATTCGCAGAGCTACCCGTCAATCTACAGCTCGGCTCCTCCTATTGGCCAGCTGGGGGTACAGAATGCGAATGGGGAGAGGGACCGGGAGAGGGTTGCCATTAAAGAGGTGGATACCATCAGAGAGAGGCCAGAGGGAGGCGAGGAGGAGGAGGAGGAGGAAGAAGAGGAGGAAGAGGAGGAGGAGGAAGACATGGAGAGCCGGAGGGCGAATCTGAATGAGACAGCAGGTAGAGTTGATTATTTTCAGTGTTTTTACTGCTGGACAGGGAGGGGATTGGCAGTAATGGGTTCTTCCTGTCAGGGGTCTTTTCCATGGATGAGGATTCCCTGTCACGTGACTGTGAGCCGTTCTTTGAGTCAGACGGGGAGGAGGAGAGCACTGATGGTATGTGGGATCTTGTCTGTTGTTTTACTTTGCCTTTTACACCTGGAGTTTGTGACTGCCAGTCCAAGGCTGCGATTGTCTGCTATGTGCCACAGGCTCCCTGAGCGAGGATGCCCCACCCCCCTCTCGCAGCATGGCAGTGGGACACCTCCCCACCCGTGGACACCCTCCCTCCATTGCACGCTCTCTGCCTGTGTCCGTGCCCGTCTGGGGCTACCGGTGCAGCCGTACGGCGCAGGGGGACAGCCACAGCGGGGAGCGGGTAAGTGTCCCTTCAACCCCCCCAAACCATGTCCTCATTCTCCACAGCAAGTTTTATTCCTAACCCTGTGCCTCCCCCCCCCACAAGCCCGGCTGTCCAGATCTGGACCACATCGCTGCCAGCATGCAGGCTCTCCTGGCTCCGAGTGCCACTGACGGCACAGAGATGTTTGGAGGGCTACCTCGGCCCCGCCTCAACACCGGCGACTTCAGCCTGAAGCACTGATGAGCACACAGACACACCGACTGATTCACGTGGGCACCAACTGACAGCAGGGTACACCGACTGACACACTGACGGCGAACATGCAGACTGACACACATGGGTGCCGACGACTTACAGCGGAGACACAGACTGACTGCAGAGATGAGACTGACGGACATAGATGCCAACTGCCAGCGGAAACACAGACTGACACACCCAGGCGCTGATTGACAGTGGAAACACAGATTGATGCATGCGTGTGCCGAATGACAGCAGAAATGAGACTGATGTACCTGGGTGCCAACTGACAGGTGAAACGTAGACTGCTGCATGTGGGTGCTGACTGATAGTGGAGGCGCAGACTGACACACTGTGAACGTGCAGACTAATGCACATGAGCCTCGACTGATGGCAGAGACGCAGACTGCAGCATGTGGGTGCCGACAGACAGCGGAGACTGACACACTAACTGCGAACATAGAGACTGATTTGCGCAGGTGCCAACTGATGGCGGCGGCACAGACTGACATGCAGACGCATTGCATGCAGACATCAAGGGTGAGACAGACTGACGCACGCAGGCAACGATTGACAGAGGAGATGCCGACTGACACATTGACGATGAATGTGCAGACTGACACATGGGTGCCAGCTGACGGAGACGTAGACTGACGTACATGGGCACCGACTGACAATGGAGATGTAGACTGACGGCAGAGACTTAGACAGACACATTACACTGCGTACATTGAGTCGTATCTCCTACGTACCACGCACTAACGCTTATGAGCAGCTGACCGCATGTTGTTTTCGGCTGCTGGCTCAAACTGGATCGACTGGCTCGCCGAGGTGTGCAGATGGGAGGGGGAAACACTCCTCATAAGCATGGACACCGTCGGGAAGACAGAGACCATCTGCATGGAGCAACTCATGGGTTCAACACTAAGCCGTCCGTGGCTCTCTGCTCTGCTCTCTCAGCATTGTGCAGTGTATAAATGAAAATGTTTTAAATAAAGACACAAACCCCAAACCTTATGTGCATCTTCTCATCTTTGTGATATGATGGTGTCCTTGGGAGTGGAACCACAGACAGGTGAGCGGAGGAGCAGGGAGAGGTGAACGTCAGGCAGATACAGGGTTCCCGCAGGGTCTTAAAAAGTCTTAAGTCTAAAATTCAGAAAGTTAAATTTAAGGCCTTAAAATGTCTTAAAAATGCCCAGATTTTCATCCTAGGTCTTAAATCTAATTTACACAAGTCTTAAAATTCTTACCTCCGTTCATTCCCAAAAAGCGTTGTCCGCAGAAAATAAAATAGTAAAACGCTGTAAAACTAATCCGTTGGTTGTGTTATCTGGTCTGCACCGGTGTCTGCGTTGTAATAAAACTACAAATTCCATTGCGTGATCACTGCAGCTAGGCAAACAGTTTGAGAAGGGTCTGGCTGCAGAACGTGCACTTTCAGCCACTGACGTCAGGTGCACGCTCAGCTACAACAGGAAGTGCAGGGGAATCAAGCGCTAACTTAGTTCTTGAGGCCAATGTGAACGGTATGTTGTTTTATTATTTGTATTACTGAATGATATAGTTACAAGTTTATTTCATGCCATACATTATTGCAATGTAAATATTTTGATGTAGTGCGTTAGTAACTTTTTTCTCTGATGACTGGAGTGAATTTTTTCAGTTAAGGCAACTACTAGCCAGTTGGCTCACGTTATCTTATCATAAAATAAACACATTTCTACTTTTACAGAGCTTTTCATGGAGTTACTTTGTGAATGTCTTAGTTTCCAGTATATAGTTTGTAGTTGTTCGTCTCCTTAAGGCAAGGCAAGTTTTTATTACCATACACAGGGGTTATTTAATGTGCTTTATAAAAACAAGATTTTAAAAAGTTAAACCAATACTAAAAAAGCAAAATAGAGATAAAAAAACTTATTTGAATAAAAATTGCTTAGAAAATCTAAAAAATCTGATTAAAAGTGCAGTATGTCCTGCCCCGCTCGTCCGCTCCTCGCGTTTGCCACGCCCCCTCGTTAACCCCGTGTGGAGTCTGTATCAGCTGTTTCTAGTTGTTTTCTGATGGGTCTGGAACGTAACTTCCGCGATAGGCGGGGGATCACTATATATTTTAAGGCTTAAACTATAAAAAAGTTTATGTATATGGTCTTTCTATATCGCGGATTTTCACCTATGGCTGATGGGTTTGGATCCCCCGCCTATCGCAGAAGTTACGTTCCATACCCATCAGCGATAGGTGAAAATCAGCGATATAGAAAGACCATATACATAAACTTTTTTATAGTTTAAACCTTAAAATACCACTCCCACATGCTTTAAACACATGTGAACTTATTAAAACGCACTTTGTAAACACATATATGTGGATGTTGGGCTAAGGATATGAGTGACATAAAATATGAGAATTTCTGGTATCATTCGAATGTTTCTAGTAATGCATCGTGTTGGTCTTAAATTTTGCTCATAATGGTCTTGAAAGGTCTTAAATTTAACTTACTGCAACCTGCAAGAACCCTGAGATATATCCTAAGAGCCCCCAGTGGGACATTAATTGTACATACTGTATGCTGGAAGTCCAGTGAAGAAAAAGGGTGATACTCATTGGTTGGTCCTCATTGGTTGCAGTTCCCTGCACCACCAGTAGAGGGACGAGTGCCTACAGCCGTTATGATAAACTACGATCATAAATGAACCAATTTTTGATATAATGTGCTTGTGACTGGGGCAGCATCCCTCAGGATTAAAGGTTACATTCAGACTGGTGGCTTTGCATTAAAAACCCAAACTCAAGATCCCATCCAGATTCATGGACGGATGGATGGTGTCTTGCTGTGGCTTAAGCCCAGACTCCTTCGCACAAACAGGCACCAAACCAAACTTGCAGTGTGAACAGAAACTTCAATGTATTGTTTCATATAACAATAAAGTGCTACTCTTTTAATCATATTGAATGTTTCATATACAATCAGGATAACCTGGTTGCAGTGGCATTAGGGGCTCAGAGCATAAGCTTTAATTAGCTTGTTTGATGGCTGTACAGTTTCTGGGGGGGGGGCACCCTTTCTCTTCTTTCAGGGTTTTTCCACCTCTGTCCACCCGTCCGCACCAGCCCCAGTCTCTCACTCGGCTTTCTTCTGAATCCAGCAGGCAGATTTGCCCCCTACCCAGAATGCCGGCAGGAGGGGTTGGCTGAAGCTGGCCTTGTACCTGTGCAGCAGTCGAGCTGCTCCAGTGGCTCCCTCGCCCCCCCTCCCCACTGCGTAGAAGCTGAGCACACCTGCCGGCTGATCCAGGTAGAGACCCAGGTTCGGGGTCACCTCAGCCTCCACGTCTACGTTCTCGCTGTTGTGCCAGGCCTGGTAGCAGGTGCCAGCCCAGCCCAGCCCCCAGGAGGCTTCGTTCTCCCCGATGCCGCAGGGGCCTTCCTGTGCTTTGCGTGGTGCCCCCTCATACACGACCCCCACCACCACCCAACCCGTGTAGCCCACCTCCCAGTAGGCCCGCCTCCCCCACATATTCTCCTTGCAGACCACCTGGGGGGAGGAAAGAGGGGGGTTATTTTCACTCTGGCTGTAGTGGTGGAGAGGGTGACGCTACTGGTCGGGCCGGGGGCAGGCCTACCTGTGGGGAGTGGTCGTAGCGCTCAGGCCTGTCCAGGTATGGGCACGCATCCTCAGACATGCGGGACACTTTGGTCGCCCCTTCAGATATCCACAGCAGCTTCTGGGCCGTCCTGTCATCCAGGGAGAGGGGGATCCAGTCTGAGAGAGAGAGAGGGGGGAGAAAAAGAGAGGGGAAGAAGAGTGGGAGAGAGCGCAGAGGGAGGCGAGAAAGGGAGAGGGGGAGAGAGAAAGGGAGATGCACAGAGGGTACTGAGATGAGATATAAACACGAGATGCTGCATAAGATGCCTCTGCTTACACTTGAGGAGCTCCTCCCTAGTCTGGGGCTCCGGGATGTTGGGCTCATAGATGGGACAGGGGGCTGTGGCGAGACAGAGAGCGGCGACAGACAAGTGAGGGGATCCCCCAGTATAACCGCAGACAGAGGCTGGCCCAGCTCACTGCGCTTGATGCTGCTGCTTTTACATGCTTCATCTAGAGGCATCATGTGGTCTTCGCTGTCTAACTCACAGCACACGGCCAGGAAGTAGGTCAGTAGGTATGCACACGGGACTGGAAATTACAAGTACAAGTACAAAAAAACCAACACCAGCCCACTGGCTGGTAAAAAAAACAACAATGCATGTTGGACTACAACAAAACATTTTGTGTTGAGTACACACTTCTCAGCACAGGTATATATAGTATAAATATATAATAATATATAAAATTTACATTATAATAAAAAAGTAATAATAATAATTATTTAAATAATAGGTGCCTTGAAGGAAATGCACAATTAAAAACATCTTTCACACAGCATAATCAAAGAACTCAACTGTCAAAGTTGCTGCGTTAAAGTGTTAGCATTAATCTTAAAGCTATACAACGTCATTATTTCTTGGGTCGTGTTTACTTTCATCGTGTTCATTATAATACCGTGTGGGAGAGCAGTATGATTTTTAAAAGAAATTTCTATACTGAATATACAGTATAAAACTGAAAAATCGTTTTTTAATCATCTGACAGTCCTATTAACAATCTCTGCTCATACTAAGTGTTTTGTTCACCCCCCCAAAGTGGAATTGCCTGTTTGCTAATTCAGTGCCTATCAGAAGTTGACGCAGCCCGTGTCACCTATAGGATTTACTGGCCCTGCCCCCTTCACCAAAGCATTTTAAATTAGTCAGGAAGATGGCTGGTAGGGATTGGCTACAGTCCTGACCATGTCACCATGTAGAGGATGCAACATTAATGCAATGAACAATATAAATTGAATTGCATTGAGTAAATGGGTAAATTGTTCATGGAAATTAGTACATTTACTGAAAATAACCTTGTTAAATAATGTATTATTTTAATACGTGATGCTGCAAAATTGCACCCCTGAATGGATGACATCACACTTGTACTGTCAAATCGCAGTCCATTTACCAGCAGCAATGGCTCCGCTATGAGCGTCTCCTACAAAGAGAAGAGAGGCTGTGAGTCACATGCCATGCGGAGGAAGGCGTGAGATCAGAGCAGGGAGCAGCTTTGTCAGTCATCAGCACCTAATCTGACAGGGTGGCGCATCTTATGGGGTTGATGCGACAAAAACAAAGAGGTGCGACCTCTGCACGTAGCCAGCCGGGCCTTAGCAAGGCTTTCCGGAACGCTTCCATCAGGCTGCGTTTTGCATGTCTACTTAATCGCTCACCTGCACCTATCTGGGGTGCTGCTGTTGCACCATAAGTGCATGCACTGCTCTCATTCTGCTTCACAGGCACCACTGCCAGTCTGGGGGTGGGGGTGGGGGTGGGGGGGGGTCTGCCTGTGACTAAGACTGCTGAAGCGATGCGTCGTTCCCACCGTGTCAGGAAGCAGCGGGAGCCGCGGCAAGCAGCTAAGCTGCCATCTGCTCATCCTGGGCCTGCAAGCTGAGCTGTGAACACGACTGGACAGGCAGCACAGATCAGGTCGCCTGCCGCATCAGTCACACCTCTGAGAGTACAGGACGGCGGGAAACTGCGCCGCCCTACAGGTAGCTCCACCCAGGATCAGCCCCGTGAGCTTTCAGGAGCAGGCAGGGGTAGATGTCAGGGACTCTGCTATGAAAAACAGCCTGGAACTCACACAGCGCACATACACTGAGACTCATGCCGGGATCATTAATACAGCTTAAAAAGCAGCAGAGAGGCCATCTGAGCCATGGGGCGATGACAGCTTCCAGTTATAAATCACACCTCCTCTGCATTACTCCCTTTTAAAGAACCGTGGGGGGAGGTGGAGCGTCACTGAGATGTGGTTGGTCCAGTTGCAATTCTATAGGTCCAACTGAGCAGACTCCACCCCCATATGAAGGAGGCCCTGCCCCTTTCAGGAAGTACTCAAGTGGCTGAAAGCTGTGAGCTGCCTTATACTCAGAACAGC